TTTATAATTTAAGGAAGATGAGAAACCTATAAGTCACGCTTTCAAATAAGGAACAAGGATATTGCAAACATTAAATTCCCCCATAAAAATGTTAAGGCATCATTAAACTAGGTTCAGATTAATACAATTCAGTCAACTCTAGATAGATATCTCCCATAATCAGCTGAAACAAAACCTAGTGATCTAAGATGTAAAATATTTTACTACAGCCAATTTATAAACCTATAAAACATACAGGTATCATTCAACCTCTTTATTAATAGTGCATGCCTTGTATTAAATCAAAACGGTTTTAAGGACCCCTCCCCTTTGGTGATACCTTCCTCAGCTGTTGGCCCTCATTATGCATCATGTCACTGAGACTCATCCACAATGAATGACAGCATCTCTTTTTCACTAGAAGCAGTACAGGCTATTCCAGGCCCACTGACAGAGCTTAACATCCTTTGAGATTTATAGACATATTTTCTACCCACAACTTATAACGCTTCATGGCTAATGTTGATGTATTTGTTTTTCTATGGATTGAAGCTTTTTTCAGACTAAAACTTTGGAACTTCTTATTTTTAAGGTTTTTCAACTTTAAACTATAGTGAACTATAGTCCCAAGAAAATGGTACTGCAGCATCTTCGAGTTGTAGAGATAATGACTCTGCTTGGAGGCCGTCTTATTGACCCTGTTTTTCTTCTGTAAGAAAGCCATATGTGTCATGTAGACTAGGTTGCTGGGGATTTTAATGAATCACCTCTTCTTGTTAATTTACCACCAGGAACAAATTCCATATAATGTCAACTTGTATCACAGAATCAAGTCTGGAATTAGGGGCAAATCCAATGAGGGTACCGTGCAAATCCAATGTTGGCACTTGCAATCACCAAGTCTGCTCATAAATCTACTGGGTGTGTGGTCACAGATTCCACTGGACCTCCCAGTCTGGTGGCACTGAGCAGCAAAATGTGTGTCGACCACAAGTCCCTAAAGCAGAATCCCCAAAAGATAGAAAAGTAAGGCGATATGTCTCTCTAACAAGGATTTGCATGTCATATTTTCAATCATTCCAGTTTTTGAGGGTTCTAACACAGACCCATAAACAATGCACAGAGTTACAGGAAAATGGGGACATTTTAATTTGATAACAAAGAAAAATTAAACGGGTAGTTTCAATATTTCAAAGTTGTCTCATTGTCCAAAAATTAATCAAAATAACCTTGATAGCAGCCCAGATACATGAAAGAGGGGATAGAACCTCCCCCAAATGATGTGATAGACTTTGATGACCCCCCGTGGAAGGCCTCACTATCCTTGGGGAGTGAGTGAGGGATGGGTTGGAGGGATCATGGGGGGCATGGGAGGAGAGAAGGACGAGGGAATTGGGGGATTGCTGTGTAAAATAGTATTGCTTTTAAAATTAAAAATACTTAAAAATAACATTCTAAGAAATAACCAATCATTATTTCTAAAGGAATATCATAAAAAACTTTGAAAATATAAGATCTTGTTCTTATAACATTTCAGATATTATTCATAGTAAGATATGTCATTTTAAATTATTTTACTAAGAGACCAGAATCTAACCAGTAAAATTTTTAACATTTTGTCAATATTGAATTAAAATAAAAGTTATATACTTTTGCTTTGATTTTTAAAATATGCATTACAAATATAATTTTATATAATATTTTGATATTTTATCTACTTTTACTTCATGTATATAGGAGTGTTTTCCTGAATATATGTTTGTACAGTTTCTTCAGAGGTCAGACGAAGAGTGTCAGATCCCCTAGGAAATAGAGGCAGAAACAGTTGTGATCTGCCAAATGGGTGCTGTGAATTGAACCCAGGTCCTCTCAAAGAGCAACCAGTACTCTTAACTACTGGACCATCTCTGAAGACCCAAAAATCATACCCTTAATGGAGAAACTTTACTTTGAATGATCATAAATAAAAAGGACATTGATTGCACATTAAATAACTTGGAAACTGTTTAAACATAAACATTTTCATATATTTCAAAAATAATTGTTACTTTAAGGCAAAATCACCCCCCATTTTATTTAGGTATAAAAAAGATTTTAAAGAGTGAAAGAAAATCTCTGAAAATAAGACTATGGAGACTTGAGAGATGGGTCAACAGTGACGTATGGTTATTGTTATTGCACACACGCACAGGAATACAATTATATAGTGTTAACATAAGTTCATGTGTAAATACACAGCCAATATCAAATATATGACATTGATAGTAAGATATAAAAGATCAATAAAATTCCTAAAAATAAGTGAACACAAAGTTCAACTTTGAAATTTCTGGAAATCACCCAAATGAAATTTATTTCCCACTCTTGTAGCAGTGGCTACCTACAAACAATAGGAAGTTTTCACTTTAAATTAACATACATATCAACCACAGGACCTGTGTGTCACGTCTTCCTACATAGATAGAACATGGCATTTACCAGCAAAAAGAAATTATGCAATCAGCAAGAATGTAATACAGCAAACATCATCGTCTACCTTACAGACTAGAGAGTTAACATGGAATACACTGATTTCTAGCCAGTAATCATTTGACCAGTAGGTTAGAGATCTGTTAAGACAGGATGATAAAGTACAAGCAAACAGACAAAAGGTAAAACATTGTAATAATGTCTGAGGAAAAGGTATTTGGCTAGATCTCTCAGAGACTTTTGCATCTCACATTCAAACCCACCAAAGTGCAACTACCAAAGATCAGTCACACACAATAAGATGATCCCATGTAGAAGAGTGAAATTAGACCCATCGCTGTCTCCTTGTACAAAATCTAAGGCCAAATGCCTCAAAGAACTCAAAGTGAAACCTGAAACACTGGACTTGTAGAAGACAACATAGGTAGTATTCTTCAAGATAGAGGTGCAGGAAAGAACTTTCTGGACAGGACTCCACTTGCCCAGGAATTAAGGCCATCAGCTGGGAAGAGCAACTTAATAAAACTGAAAAGCTGCACAGCTCAAGAACTAAGCTAGCCAAGAAAAGATTCATACAGTAGGAGAGAATCTTTCCCACATATCCATCTGACAGAGGATTAATATCAGAATATTAAAACAAATAGTGAAGCAAATAAAAAAGACCCAATTTAAAAAAAACAGGTCATGTGTGTGAATAAAGAATTCCCAAAATAAATTTAAATGCGCCCAAAACATCTCATAAAACTTTCATCATTGGAAGCAATTAGGGCAATGAAAATCAAAACTTCTTTGAGATTTCATCTCACACAGGTCAGAATGGCAAGGACCTACAAAACAAAACAACCTACAATACATTCTGGAGAAGATATGTGGAAAGAGGAGCTCCATTCACTGTCAGCAGAATTGCAACCTGGTACAGCCAGTCTGGAAAATCAGTGTGTGGAGATCTCTCCAAAAGCTAAAATTAAATATGCCACATAAGCCAGTTGTAACACTTCTTGGCAAGTAGCCCAAGGAATTTGACTTCCAACTCAACAGATACTTGCTCAGACACTCTCATTAACCCTCTGCTCATAACATCTAGGAAATTGAAACAACCTGAATTTCCTTTAACTGATAAGTGCATAATGAAAACATATTACACACACACACACACACACACACGATGGAATATTATGCAACTGTAAAGGAAAATAAGACTGTGAGTTTTGTAGGTAAATAAGTGAACTAGAGCAAACACAGTGAATGATGTGAGGACATAGTTTTAAGGAGCACTAATAGCTCACAGTGTCCTTCCTAATATGTTAAATCATAGCGTATGCTGAGGGAGCGCATGTCTGTGAATCCCCTCCTTCGGGACGCCTCGCTCTGTCCCAGCTTACGATCCTCTACTCACTAGCTTCTGCTGCCACAGTCCCCAAGCTCTTGTCCCTACATAGGAACCAAGTGGGAGCATGCCATTGCCTGTATCTGAGCTTTATTTCCCTAAGACCCAACCATAATTATCAACATTTTGTCAAATGCTAAGCAAATAGCTTCAGAGTGGAAGATAATGGATGGAAAAGTTCAGTAAGGACAACCAGTACTGTCACTTAGAAGGTCTACCATTGTCTCAGCAGGAAATGGTGGCCCACGAGATTTAATAGGTTTGCAACTTAGAACCAAAAAATATCCTTCACAGTAGCAAGACCTTGAAAGTTGTAAATCAATCGTACTGGTTAGTAATTGTCAAGCTGGCCCAATCTGGGAAGAGAAAGCTTCTATTACAGAATCGCCTCCCTCACACTGGCCTGATTGCTAATGGGTGTAGGAGGGCCCAAACCATTGAACCCAAGTGCAAGCAGATGAGCCTGGGTGTATAAGGAAGGTGACTAAGCAAGTCACAGAGAGCAAGCTGGTGAGCAGGGTTCATCTGTAGTTTCTACTTCAAGTTCCTGCCCTGCTTTCTTTCCATGATAGGGTAAAACCTAGAAGACAAAATAAATTCTTCTGGAAGTTGTCTATAATCATGGTTTTTATTGCAGCAATAGAAACCAAACTGGATATGATTTATTCCTCTGAGTAAACTAAAATAGATAACTTTATTGTAAAGGATCCTAATCCTATCCATGAAGCCCTTTGTGAGCCTTGTCTCCTGGGACTGCATTGGCTGATCTCCACTATCCATCTGTCTGAACAGGGAATCATCTGAGAAACACACAACTGTGTGACTCTCTGAGGGTGTTTCCCAGGATGCTTCACCGAGTAGGGAAGACCCACCCTGGACGGCTGGTGTCCCAGGCTTAGCAAAAAGGAAATTAAGGAGGAACTCAGATGAGCAGGAGTGATCATCTCTCTTCTAGCTTCTTGATTGGTCATGCAGTGATGCAGGGTAACCACGTGCTTCACAACTCCTGCTGTCATGCCTCCCCTGGATGATGTACTACATCCCTTAAAACTGAAAGCCAGCAAAAATCAAATCCTACACTCACTTGAATTTGTTATACATAATTTTTGTATTTTATATCTATAAGATAATAACTAATTCATACAACAATTTTTTCATTGTTTCATCAATTGAAAAATATTTATTCATGGACAGGTATTTTTACATATACAACACTAAATCATGTTTTTAAGCAAAAGTCTGTTAAATATCATGAAGTCATTTTAAAATTAATAATGTATGCCCTACAGTGCATTAGCTGTGGATATCTGTTTGTTTTTTTCAGAATGATGACAAAATATAAAAGTGAACCACACACTTTAAAATAGTGTTTTAATAGAACAATACATGCAGAATTTTCTCAGCAAGGCATAGGGGACAGCTCTCCACTAACACACCAGAGCATTTGCTTGTACAAGAAGTGAAAGTTTATGAGGGAAACAATGTGAAGCAGATCTGAAAGAAAGTTATATATTCTAAAATTCAGCCATGACCCATTTTCACTTATTTTATACATCCCCCAAAAATCTGTCTTTTAATTATATGAATCATAATTGTCACCTAAGTGTTTGAGACTCTCTGATGGACCAAGTCCCCTGGGTCTATTACATGTCTACTAAACAGATTTCCTTCTCTTTCCAAACACATTATTGATCAGTTTGGCCATTGATTTAGACCCACTGGGTCTTCTCTTCTCCTTGTGTTTGAAGATCATCAGTATGTCCTTGATGAATCTAAGAAACATCACCTCAACCTCCAGGGACTGATCTGCCGCAGACAGCTCACAGAACTGGCAGCGGAAATCTGTGGCCAGTTTTTGCCCTTCCTCCCAGCCAACCTCTCGCTTGTGGCAGAGGTCTTGCTTGTTGCCAACTAAAACCACAGCTGGTTCCACCATCCTGAAATACAATGAGTAAATTTCTCAAGCTTGTTTCAACAATTCTAAAAAGTAATGTAATTTTATATCCGATGACCAAAAAATCAAAAGTAAGTCCTAGTAGGTATTATATCTATCTATGGCCATAGCCATTTATGTGCTCAGAAACACATATCCTCACTGCTGCAAAATCATTTTCCACATAATAAAATATTAACAAGCAAGGCTCCCAACATTTAGAGTTTGGAACAGCATACACATATTCATGTCTGGATAGGTATAATAATCAGAGATAGCTGCTGTAATCTTCCCCAATTTGTCTCTTTATGTACTAAGCAAAATAAGGAAATAGTTCCCACCACAGAGCCATAAGGTTCTACCTCACTCAAAGCCCAGAAACATGAAGACATGTAATACAGACTGAACAATTGAAACCGTGAGCCAACATACATCTGCCATGCCTTAAACTTTTTCTGCTTGGTACAGTGTCACACCTAAGCAAAAGTAACTAATTTAGCTGTCATTTGAAGATGCTGTGTTAAGCCCAGGCAGCAACTTACAGTAATAAGATTGGCAGCTTTAAGCCAGACTCAATTATATCATTATCCTAGACTTTATCGGGCAACACTGAGAAGAAACTTTGAGCAAAAATGAACACTTTGAATGAGAAATGCTGAAACAACAAGTGGAGGAAATTAAACTAAGAATCTCAGACACCTAAGTGTTTCATCAATAGAGAAAAAGTCTCTAAATACAGTCATCTTCCTGCATTGTTCTGTGTCAAGACAGTTAACAGTGGATTGTTGACAACATTTTTATCTCAGTGGGTAGAGTGAAGAAAAGCGTATCTCCACCCTTACCATGTGTAGATGGCTGGATATTCAGTCTGTGTTTTACTGTGACATTCTCAGCAACCAGTAATGAGGAACTGGATTTCACAGGATACCAAAGTAATAAATCTGGATTTATTTAGGATCCTTAACACCTCCGTGAGGATGAAAAGGAAAGGAGGAAGCATGACATATCTACCGTAGAGAGGACCATTATTTTGCTAGTGAGTGTCATGTTAACAATAGAAGCTGTCTTGTAAAATGGCCATTTACTCTGGGCAAGGAACTGTTTATGTCAGCCAGGGTACAAAGCATTCTCATCTGATTCCTTTTACTACATGTGTAACTCCTGTGGAATGGGAAGGTGAATTGTTCAGGGCTGTTAAATTTTGTAATTGGAAGTCTGTATTAAATTCTTCCTAATGATGTTCAGGGCAAAGAGATGATTTACTAAAATGGAAAGGAGACGGGAATGAAATGTCTTCTTACCTTTTACAATGGGAAGTTGGTGGCTCCCGAATTCTGTAGATAATGGCTTTGGCGAAAGCGAAGGAAGGCCTGTCACTGATGTCATACACAATCACAAACCCATCTGCCCAGTGCAGCTCACTTGTGAGGGAGCATTTTGCTTTCTGTGACTTAAAATAAAACCAAGTGTAGTTAAATCACAGTTACACATTTCACCCTGGGCAAGACTTCAATAAGGCCAAATAACAATAATCTCTAAGGTGTGCTTTCATTGTCCTGTCTCTTTCTCATTATTGTCTTTCTTAAACAAACAAAAAATCTATAATAGTTATTTTAATCTCACTTTACAACATTTTTAAAAACAAATTTATTTTTTCCTAAAAAATTGATTTGGTGCCTTTTAAATTAATATCCAGACATTTGTCTTGAAAAAAACATGCCATCTGTGTTAATTCATGGGCCACCGATTTTTATTTTTGTGTGTGTGCGTGTACTTGGATGTGTGCATGCATGTTCATGTGTGTCAGTTACATCCTTAGCAAGGCAAACATGTAGAGGTCAGACAACAACCTCAGGGATTGGTCCTTCCCGTTCTACCTTGAGACAGGGCTTTTTCATGGGCAACAGACTGGCCTGCAAGCTAACTTCCTGTCTCCTTCCATCACAACAAAGGAGTGCTGGAATTACACATATCTGCTACAGTGCCTAGCTCTGCATGGATTCTAGAAATCTGAACTCAGGTCCTAATGATTGCATGGCAAGTATGTTATGCAGAGAGCCATCTTGCCAACCTAGAATATCAGTTTGCTTGCAATAGTAGATTCAAACCTATGGATGTGAAAAATTTATAAAGTTTATCTAAAAATATTTATAGGATAATTTAGGGTATAATGCTTAATAAATCAATTGCTTGTTTTGAAATCAGAAAACCAATCATTTCTTCTCATTTTTAAGATGAAAAGATATTTTGAGAGATTACAATGAGATTATTTTGATATTTTAGTGTATTAACTAGATAAATACATTTATACTCAAATTTTGCCTTATGCTATATTGAAAACTGGTTGCAAATGTACGTACTTTAGGGAAAATATAAAAACTGAACTGACAAGTCATTCTGCCTTAATTTCTGAGAGCTACCCTATGAGGTCACAGGAATATATATGACCACTGCTATTTTAAAGATTTGTTTTAATGGACTGGAGAGATGACTCTAAAGCTAAGAACACTTTCTGCTCATGCAGAGGATTCCAGTTGGGACCCTAACACACATGTCTACTCATAGCCATCTGTAATTCCACTTTAAGGTTATCTAGGTCTTCTCATCTTTCTAGGAGCTTCATGCCCATGAAACACATATAAATAAAGCACACACATGCAAAACAATAATACACGTAAAATATAAAAGACTTTTTGTTAAGACTATTTTCAGGGCTCACTTTTATTGTTCATTAGAGATATTTCTCTATGCTAACTTTTAATCAAAATTTATACAGAATCCTAATAATACAATTTGCACTAAAGGAAATGTCAACATTTTGAAAATTTAAATTGAGGAGAAATTTTAATTTCATGTTGGCATTATTTTGCATATTCATAGCCACATTTCTTTATACTATGCTTGAAAATAAAATAAAAGACAGGATTTTGTTTGACTTACTTGAGAACATGGGTCATATATTTCCAGATTCAATGGTTTCCCTTCCAAACACAACTGCTTATTATAGATAGATTCTGAAAAATCACATGTATTTATTGTCAGTGTGGGAAAAGTCCAGAATAAACACTCATTTGTAGTTGTTCTTGGTCTGCCAAACTCAACAAGTCATATTTCAGGCTAGTTTTACTGAAGATTTATGATTGTGTGTATAAGTGTGTGTGTGTTGTCTATATGTCTGTATGTGTATTATGTACTCATTGTCAACATCCTATAAACATGTGAAAATGGTTCTAAGTTCAATACTATCCCTTGATTATGAGTCACTGACAAAATCTCAAGTATTTTCTTCATATGGTATTCATGTAGCATGTCTATCTCTGTTTTAATTTTCTTTATTCACTGTCATGTTCTATAAGGGTTTTTATCTCATACTTCATTATTTTCCCATGCTCTACATTTGGATTCAGTTCATATTCACTGTCTTACACTACTTTACAGTTATCAGAGTATCAGTGTCCTGTGTACAATCTACTGATGGTTTTTGATCAGCTCAACATGTGTTTGTAATGCAGACCTCATCCACAAGCTCATGGCAGCTATTCACTATTGGGCATATTCCCTTAAGTATCTGACAGACATGTTAATCTGATTATGTGAAAAACTGAACTTTTATACTCCCTGCAAAAAACCACCTCAAAGCTTCCAATCTGCTCAATGATACATGCTATTTTCAGACGTAAAGCATGAAGATCCCTTAATACGTGATTTCTCTGCTGACCATATAATTCACAAAATCACTCTGTTCTACATTCAAAATTTAATTAGTATGTATGCCAGTGATTTTTATTGCAACGACACTATTCTTTTTGCTTGGATATTCGTAAAACCTCATATGTCATCTGCCTACACAGACTCACTTACGATCTATAGAATAATCAAAGGCACAGGCTAATGTGAGGCATGTATTTACATCAGATGCTTATTGGGAAAAATCAGTGTCCCTCTTGGACTAAGAAAACTTTCATATACCTGCGAAAGCTCCTCTCTTTCAGTCCTCATCATTTCTACAAGCTCAGTAGAATTCCCGAGCTATTCTTTTTCCTCTTATTCTATCCTCTCTCTACTAACTTGAGTAACTACTCCACTTTGTCAGTAACTTTCCACATGCAAACTTTGAAGTTTATTCTCTCTTCCACCTAGCATATAATTCCTCAGATGTCTCCTTCAGCATGTCTCTGTTGGACTGATGATACCTTCTGAGAAAGATTTACACTCTCCGGTCATTTGCTTTTTCTTTTGTTTCAAGACATCGTCTAGGCTCGCCTGGAAATTGGATGTGTTCCTGTGACTCTGCTCCCCAAGTACTGGGACTGAAAACATCCACTTCCACCACATGACTCTTTTAAAAATAACACATACCACATTAATGCTTTTCTCTGGTTTCCTTTACTTATCTTTATACCATTTATCATCAAATTGCGTGATTTTGGCTTGCATTGACAAATCCTTCTTTCACATTACAAATTCTATGATAAATTAAATACATATTCCTTTGTGCTCTGACACAGCCTATTGATGCAGAAAACTATGTGAAATGCAGCAGCTGTCCAGTGAACATTCTTTGAACGGATGACTTGTGCCCGTAACTGTTCCTCCACCTCTATTTCTCCTCAGATTAACACAGTAACACAAACACATGACTGACTCTGAAAATTAATCTGTAACCCACAATAAGAAGTAACAGCAGGGGCTAGAAAGACGGCTCAGTGGTCTGTGCTTGCTCTCTTGCAGAAGACCGAGGTTCAGTTCTCAGCACCCACAGACAGATACTTTCCGTAATTCCGGTTCTTAGGAGTCTGAGGCCATCTTCTCACCTCCCGGAGTACCTGCATGCTCACTCATGGTCTACATGCACTAGGGCCGTATATACTCACGTACAGTAAAGTCAGTAAATCCCTGATTTACAAAAGCAGCAGACATCTGATGAACAAGTCTTTCCTCAGAGGATGAAGACTGACTTTTACAAATCTTTCCACGCATGGCATTAGTCATAGTTTCATCAGATACCAGGTTTTGTTTACAGAGGTGTTTTTTTTTGTTTGTTTGTTGTTGGTCGTGGTGGTGGTGTTGCTTCACTTGGTTTTCTAAACTCCCCACATTTACTGTTGGCCCTGAATGTTAACTCTCCCAGACCAGACACTGTCTCTCAAACCTCACAGGACTGGCAAGGGCTGTCATCTCTGTTTTGGAGTGTTTTAATTTCCCCTTCTATCCTTCCTTGACAAGATGGAATTGCCTTTGCTAGCCTGTTTCCATAGAGTTGGCGACCTTTGGGATCACATGCTTCTATTTTCAGAGTGTCTTCAGATTTTGTGTTACTCATGGAGATGTCACAGCTGGGAATGTGTAAATGTTTCGTTTGTTTCTATAAAATCATTGTAGGAAGGACTAAGGTGAAGGTCGCATTGTTGTCTGTCCCCCTTTGGAGACTGCATTATCTTATTTGTGTTTAGTCTCTTTCCTGTTCGGAGAAAACTTTCTCATCCAGGCATCTTGGTTTATATGTTATGTTGACCCCTGTGCCTGAGACTTTTGCTCTCGAAATGAGAAACTAGAAATTTCTGTTTTCTGTAGTTTTCTTTCTGTTAGCAGTTTTCAAATACTTGTCTTACAATAGTCACAGTGTCAAATGAATGGAAATAGTATGCTGTACAAACAGAGAAAGCCACATGACAGAAATCTTTAAAACCATTTTAAGCTATATGCTGACAATGCCCTCTCACGAACAAACGTTGGCTTTGATTCTTGTGAAAAAAATAATTATTAACTCTCTGACCCTAAATAAGCAACATTGAACAAACCTGAGTCCCTTGCATTTTCTAGAGTTCTGCTATTGTTGATTTTAAGAAACAAACACAAATATATCCTCAGGTCTTTGATCAGATAAGATACAAATTCCATTATTTTGATCAATCTCTTAAGAAAAGTTATACAGAGAGGTATAACAATATTCCTCACATTTATAATGTGATATCTTCTATATTCTAAGATAAAAATAAAGCAAAACTGTGTTGACTTAGTAAAAATGACCATAGGATTATACTATGATGGCTTTTCATCTTTTGTGGAATTTCTCTAAAATTTATAGAAACAGCTGGAATTTACATCCATTAAAAGATAAAAACACATTAGTATCACAGCACAAACAACCATAAAATGAACATTGTAAATTGTGTAAAAGTAGAAAAGTGATACTTTAATTAAATATCTTTAGCTTTTAATGGATACTAATAATCAAAACCTTCGGTGCACTTTTGAAGAAATACATGCCCATGCTGTGCAGCATTTGAGAAAGAGAACCACAACTTTGTTGTTTTCTAGTTTTAGAATTTAGAAAGCCCTGACTTTCTAATTCATCGTCATATTGGGTAATTTCAATGACAAAAACACCCCATTCAAATACATACTTTGGTATATAAAACTAAAATCTCTGGATTAAAACAGTTTAATTAGTGTAAAAATAGAAGATTCTGCCAAAATGCCTCTCTGTTGTTAATTAGGTTTAAAGTGTGATGCTGAAATGTTAAGGCAAGTAGAAATGCATAGCAGCGACTTACCAAAATTAGAAGCATATTCTCCAATGAACCTCTTGGTAAGAAACCTTACCGTAAGTGCTGTTAAATGAACAGATGGGACTTAAGTTTGTTTTATTTTAGAATACTGAGAATTCAGTTAGGTACCATATCTTCATTTTCACTCAGTAATCAGCAAACCTCAGAGAAGAGCTTAAGACTTCACTGAGTTCTGGTCTAAAATCTGTGAAAAGCCATGATTCTGTAGAAAGAAATATGTGAGCTTACATGCTTTACATATATATTGTTATAAAATTCACTAACAAATGCAAACACATACAACACCTTACCTGCTAAAGTACAAATATAAACCTCATTATCTTTGAAACCCAAAGATCTTACTGCACTTATTTTCCCTGCTAATTAAATCTTGTTCCAAGGGTCTATGTGTAGGAGAGGTGGAGGCATTGTTCAGCATTTGTAGTCGGTAAGGAATACAGAGGGTTAGTGGCCAGGGTACAGTGGAAGAGTCCCATAGCTCACTGTCTTCCTAAAACACCCAAGTCTGCTCATTATCCCACTGTTACTGTTAGACCACTGTTCATTGGTGGAAATCTTGCTGCCAGTAGATTGTGCAGCAGAATAGAATAAATGAAAAACAGAACAGAACAGCAAATACCAGAATTAGGACCTTTCGTAATAGGTTCCAGGATGTCCACAAAGCAATGTCCCTAGAAAATCACAATCCTTCATTCGCCTCTGTCCCCCCTACCCTTACATCGGAAGAGTACTTTCAAAACAATTAACCACTGGTGGGTTTGCAGGCAAGAGTACTGGTATGAGGAAAAAGTGGGAAAGTGATGAAAGGGTTTCTTGTTGTTCTTTAGAATTTTAAACATCAGAAGAAAAAGATGCAGATTCATATTTCAAGCAATCCCATTGCCTCACCTCCTTAAACAGCTCACAATTAAACAAAAACTTGCCTGAAAAATCGGAAACTCACACACACAACAATGTACACAAATTTCACAGAGTGAATTTATTATCACTTGTTATATAATATAAGTTTATTACTAACACCCCAGTTTGTCTCTATAATCATGCTAGACTAACAGTAAAACTCACCTGATTTCCCTGTACCTTTGCCACCCAAGACAGCAAGCTTGACATCACTCATCTTGAGTAACCGATTCAGTTTTGAAACCTTGCTGACTAGAGCTAAGCATATGCTGTTGAATTTTTGAATTTCCCTTTTAAGGAAGGGTGTCCTTGTTTTTCCAGGGGCAACTTCACCATATATTTCTACCATCTAAGAATAACTTGAAAAATGTTTGCCTTTGGTACATTTCAACTGATAGTCTCAAATGCTGGGCTAATACTTAGATACTGAGATTTATGAAACCAACAGTAATGTATTTTTAACAGTAGCATAATTCATAATCCTCTAGAGGATCAAGAAAAATGTCCTATTTTTATTTAGAAAATTCTAGAGGATGCGTAAATAGGCCTATGAATTTACTCTGATGGGGTCATTTTATGTTTTCTTTATTTATTTGAGGATTTCATATATGTTGCCCATGATGTTTCTATCAAAGTTTCCCCCAGTCCCTCCCCTCCAAATTTTCCCAGATTACCTCCACCAGATTGCCTTTCTTGCTTCATGTAGTTTAAAAAATCAAAACAGATTCAATTTGTATTGCCAGTGCAATGGCAATGCATGTCTGGATCATATGCTCTAATCATATGTGATCTTAAAGCTGGAAAAAACACATATAACACCTTGCAACTTTCTGATGCCACCTTTAATGTATAATTTTTTCATTTTTAAACTATGAACTGCCAATGGACAGCAAAGCCACTCATTACTGGAAGAGTGATAAACAGAGCCTGTCCTAATTCTTCCCATACTGCTTTACAAACAGAAAACACTCCAAAAGGGAAACAGTTGGAGGTGGCTTTGTGTGTGATTCCCCGTGGGTCTGCAGTGTGAGGGAATAACTGATGCCCCTTCCTCCTCCTCTAATAGTTCCCCTGGTGTGACCTCTAGTCTTAACTGTAAACTTGACTGCACTCAGAATCACTGTGAAGATACACCCGCGTAAGGCTGTCTCCAGAAAGGGTTAGCTGAGTAGAGAAGCCCCACCGGGGATGTGTGGGACACCATGGCATGGGCTGGCATCTGAGACTAAGAGGAAGAAAGTGAGATGGGCCCCAGCATTCATTTCTGTCGGCTTCCTCATTGCGGATGTGATGTGCCCAGCTACATTACACCTCTCTGTCAATGTGGGGTGCATGCTAAAACTGGGAGACAGAATGAACCCTCCCTTTCTTATTTAACTTTTGTCTGGCATCTTGTCACATCAGTAAGGTGCCTGCCTATTATCTTTCATTGTTAGATATTTAAATACAAGTGCCATTCCCAGGACCGACAACCAGTGGCTCACAGGCACTTATAACTCCAGTTTCAGGGAATCCAATGCCCTCTTCTGGCCTCTGCAGGCAACTGCATACACACACACACACACACACACACACACACACACCACGCAAATACACAGAAACACACACACACACACACACGAGAGAGAGAGAGAGAGAGAGAGAGAGAGAGAGAGAGAGAGAGAGAGAGAGAGAGAGAGAGATTTTGCAATAAAATTATTTCTGGATGAATTTTTATATATAATATGATATTTATCATTGAAGAGTAATCTTTTTAAGAACAAATGAACATTTAATTTTATAAAACATAAGTTCTCAAGCAACTCACAGACTTAGACAAGTTGTGGATGCTCAGGAATTTGCATGTTGTGTGGGAATTTTGTAGAGTTTGAGGAGGAAATTTAGAGGTGGGCAGGCAGGAATCTTTGATCTCTGTGCCCGGCCTTTCTTCTGCCCCAGGACTCTTATTCGAATGTTTTAGAGCATAAATAGCACAGTAAATATTCTAGGCTAGACACAAGGGACAGCTGCTTTACAATCACAAATCCTGAAAAATCTTTGCCAAACAAATTAAAGCAAAACACCCACGCAGATCACAACAACCATGGCTGCTAAAATAAAAGACTTCTATTAACACACAATGCAGGAATGACTTGGCAAAATATTATTTTCTTGATAATTACTGCTTCACTTCCATCTTACCTAACAGTTCCCTCGTTATGTGCCATGTGGGAGTCTGGATCTATTCATCGTATTATATCCTTATGAAGGTCTGCTTTAAATTACATAAATCATTTCTAAATGCTTTCTCTCTCTCTCTGTCTCTCTCTCTCTCTTTCTCTCTCTTCTTCTTCCTTTCTGTTGCCTCTTTACTTGACTTAACTCCCACCCCTTCTTCCCTTCCTTTCTTTTTCCTCCATCTCCTTTCTTCCCTTTGACTTATAGTGTCACATCTTTATCAGGAATAATATACAGTTCCTCCTCCTCCTCTCGGTGCTTTTTCTTTCTGTCACTGTGGTAGTCTTTACTTAGTCTGCTAGAAATACTTTGTCACCTTTGCAATTTTTAGTTCTAGTAATTCTTATTGTATTATCCATTTAAAACTCAAGTCAAATAGGCTCTGTTTATGTCTAAATATCTCACCACAGATTTAGTGCCTGTAAGTGAGGTCTCTAGGGGCTCCTTTTCATTTTGATCTCCTACTAAATTCATCACTGAGGAAGAGATATACTTAAAACACATTGTTTCTGGTGGTATAGATTTGTAATTCCAGATTCTTGAAATGCTGAGAAAGGACAATCACAAATTCAAGGCCAGACTGCAATGAAGGTTGAGTTCAAGGCCAACCAGGACAGGTCCATGAGATATTATTTTAGAAAAACATAGAGTAACCAAAGAGGTATTGGGAAGCAACTGCGTGGTATATCACTCACTCAGCATGACTAAGGCTCTAGACTCAATCTCAAGTCCATACTACTATATATGTGTGTGTGTGTGTGCGTGTGTGTGTGTGTGTGTGTGTGTGTGTGGTGTGTATGTTATCACTATATCGCTTTTTTAAAGAATATTTGCTCATTTATTGCTCTTGTAATAGAATAGAGTATACACCAGTTTTAGTTTAGAGAAATTCTCCTTTGTGGTACCCTCTGCAGATTTACAACTAGCTGTATGGAATTCCCATCATAGCTGACTTCCCCTTTACAGACTCATATAAAACTATATTACATTCTAATAAACCATGCTGCATGTGGTTTCACCATATACCATATATCTTCCAGTTACACAGACTCACACATCCTACAGTAAGAGTCAACAAGATGGAGGTATTAATATCATTTCATGGTGTTATAGAAATCCAGTTGACATGGCAACTAAACTTGACCTGTGAAAGTTCCGCCTTCACAATCCTAACTACTTTGTGAACATGTTTCACAGAAGTCTTTCACTTGCATATGCTATTCCAAAGGACTGTTTTATTCAATATATAATGCTAGTAATTAACTCAATTATATGGACCTATTTTTCATTTTTTTGCAAAAGAAAAATGATGAATACCTCACCAATTTTCAAAAGATTTCAAAGTATGCCTGAGACTAAATAATTGAATGGCTTTGCTAATTTTTCTCAGCATGTATTCTTATAATTGCAATTATCTTTTCCAGGTAATGATCCTGTATTTATTTTACTTTTAAATTATTCCTGAGATGTTTATTGTCATAGGTCTTAGTTTTCTACTACCTTATAAAAACTGAAACATGATAGATAACAGTAATTATAACCCAGCTGGTCACCCTTTTTGCCTTCTCAAGAAAATTTATGCCAGGCTTTATGTGAACACTTGGTGGTTTTCTTTGAAGCTAATATAGCTCGTCCTCAAAGGAAAGATTGAGTTTTCATTAGCTTATTTATCCATTCATTCATTCAATTCATTCATTCACTTTATCCATGTTACTAGGGACTGAACCCAGGGTCTCGTGCATGTTTCCATGCTTCCAATGAGCCTCATCCCAGGCCTAATAGCTTCTTTGTAAATTTTTCTTTGAGAATTTCATACATGTAGGTAGTGAGACATAATGATATGAACCACATCCCCATCCAGCATCCCTCAGACCCCTCCCATACACCTCACTCGATATTTGACGTCTTTTTCTTAAGATCCAATTAATGCAGTTAGTGCTGCCTTGTGCATGGGTGCAAGGTTCATCCACCAGAGCATGGGAACTTAACTACATCTCCAGGAGAAAATGTTTCCTCCTACCCCAGAGACCATCAACTGCCCATGGCTGCTCAGTAAAGGGTAGGGCCTGGGAAGCATCCGCCCATCTATGCCATGACTTTGACTGGCTTGATTTCCTGCAGGTCTTGTGCAGGTGACCACTCATATTGTGGATTCATGATTACAATAGACAAGTTGCGCTCAGAATTTCATATTGCACCTATGCATGTGTGAGCAAGTGGGTGTGTATGTGTGTGTATGTGTGTATGTTCATGTAGTAGCATGAGTGTGGACATCAGAAGAAAACTTTCTGTGTGTGGATTTAAATTCCATGTAGTTTGAGGAAGGCTCTCTTGTTTTCTGCTGTGCACATCAGGCACGGTGGCCCACAGGTTGTTGCCATTTTTTAAATTTTTGACTGGAGACAGGTCTCACTCAGTAACCCAGGCTAGTCATGGTTGATCATGTAGACCTGATTATCCACAAACTCATAGCACTTCCCTGCCTCAGTTTCTTGGTGTCATGTGTACCTGGAGTATAGGCCTGAGTTACCACATACCTTCTTGTTTTCATGCATCATGTATTTTCCCATCTTCACTAACTTTCATTTTATAAATTCTGATCATGTATGCTTTTAACACACTATTCCTGTAAGTTTGGATACAACTGTGGTCTCATCACAGACCAAATTGCAAAATAAGCCACTGCCAATACTACTGTGGATATAGGAAAACGGATCACCTCCCAGTTCTCAAGGGGTGGCTGATGCTGTAACGATAAACGGCACACTTACTGAAAGTAAAACTAAGTATTTATTGTAGAAATTACTCACAAGATACCAAACAAATAACCCAGATGAGCCCAGTAGTTTTCCGCTGCCGAAAGCCGGAAAAAGAGAGACCAAGACTTCCATTGTTCAGTCTTTTATGCCTTCCCCCATAACGCCCCCAGCCATGCCCAAAAGTGGGCCTGGCTAGTGACGAAGTTCACCACCTACGTATGTATACATCTTTACGTCCGTTCATATACATCTTTAGTCATGCCTAAAGTGGGTGTGGTGAGCGGTGTGGTAAACCGCTCTTTTATTACCTCATCTGTATGCACCTCTAGTAAGTCACATGGTAAATGGCAGCATTGTTTTCCTCCTACATGTGGCTGCTT